TTTGAACAGCATGCACCTTAACTGGTACCCAACCACGAGCACCTACAAGGTGCTAGCAAACACTGTTTTGAAATTCATGGAGCTGAAAATACAGTTGGAAGCAGAGGCTGGGTATTGCTCCCACCATGTCTACCATGTCCAAAATTAAATATATCTGAACAAATTAACTTGACACTCCTGTAATCTTTGGTTAAATTTATATTTTAGTTTAGCAGGTAGAAATCTCTCATTACTTAGTAGGAAAATGACTACATGGAGAAGCAAAAAATTAATCATAATTTCAAAAAATGTATTACATTTAAGGAAGCAATAGACTTGGCTGATTTTGAAAAATAATTTTACGTTTTCAGATAAAGCCCTTCAGTTTCATAAAAACATTTATAATCTGAAAATTAGCAGAACTGGAAGCTTGTACTTTGCTGGGTATTCTGGAAGACAATGCTCTGCTTTGAAGTGCTACTTAGGCTGAGGAAGGAATAAAAAGAATAAAGCAAGAGTTCAAGGGGAAAAAAAAAATTTGGACACCCTAATAGCTATGAGAAAGAAGCTCAAAAGAAGTAATATTTGCAGACTAATATAAGAAGTTAAATGTAGTCTTAAAAGATTTATCTGTGGAAAAGCATGGGCCAAAGGAGTTAACTTTGCAAGTGTTGTGGGAAATCAATGCACATAGTTTTCTTCTTGCAAGCTGCCTAATTAAAATACCAATACATCTACAGCAATTTTGTTAATGAGGTAAACAAAGTCCTGTTAAAACTCTCTATCCACAAGACCGTTTAGCCAGCCCTTACTCACATTGGTTTGTCTGTTGGTTTGTCCATTTGTAATTGCCCAAAGAGCCACAAGCTAAAAAAAAAAATGCAATCTATAAACTGTTCCCTAGAGAGCATACAAGTACAGGAAGATGATCTGGTCAGGTCCATTGTTCTAGCAAACTCCATCATCCTGAGTTTTCAAGAAATACTTCAGAATGTATTTTAATGCCCAAACCATGATGTCAGACCAGAGTGACTTTGTGCTCCATAGTTTTTCATAAAATTAGATTCTCCCAATGGTGAACAGTGGCACATATCTGTGATGAAATTGGGCAAGAACTTAGAAGAGGGTACAGACAAAGAGCACTGCTGAATACCAGCAAGAAAAGCCAAAGACTCTAGGAAAAAAACCCAACACTTTTATAAAGCAGAAGCTTTCTGCATTAAGTATACAGAACTGGGGACTGAGCCTATATAGGCTGGAGCTTGTGCAGAAAATCTAATGCCATATTCAGAGAATCACAGGATCATCTGGGAAGGGACCTCCAGATGTCTAGTCCAACCACCTGTTCAAAGCAGGTCTAGTTTCAGGAGGTGGCCCAGGACCTTGTCCAGCTGAGTTTTGCATATCCAAAACCTCTCTAGGTAATATTATCTTTAGCTCAGTCACTCTTTCACTCTTCCATGAAATTACCTACCTGGTCCTGACTAATTACCAGTGTTTTAACTGTCAGTGAAAAAAAAAAAAAAAAAAAAAAAAAAAAAAAAAAAAAAGGATATAATAAAAGCTTTGGGTTAGTCAGCAACAAGCATTTTGTAAACTCACATCTTCTACTAGCAAGGGAATTTTACACTTTATGTAAAATATTTAATTGTTCTAATTTCTGTTCATTTTGTAGTTTAGATTAAAACTACCATAACATTTTTCAGACTGGAAAAGAAGTACCAATTACTTAATAAAATCACCTATAAATGTATTTAACCTAGAAGGCACAGGATGACGTCAATAAAAATTGCACTTTAAATTGGAACAACATTGAACAAGCAGAAAACAACACACCTAGCAGCGAGAGGCAGAAGGTACACAATTAATTAGTGCTGCTGTCATCAGAAAGTGGAATACAATGCTTATATCAGGCAAGAGAAAATGTTAGATAATGAAGTTTGCCGGCTAGTGTTGCAGTAAAATATTTTAGAAGACCCGACACTGACTGGTATAGTCTAATACCACACTGCACTGTAATTACTGCAAAGAAACAATCAGAAAGGAAAAGGGCAGCACCTAAGTGAAAGAAATTGGCCACACAAACCTTATTTCTCTGAGAAATTAGCATAGCCTCTGACTTACAAGACTGTAGAATCTCATCAAAACTAAGTTGTACTGAGAACGTATGGAAATTACATTTAGATGTTACATTTCACGGTATACAAATGATGTTCATGAAGTACCGGCACTGCAGAAATTTGAACTCTTCTGTAGGCAACTACAAGGAATTGGGGCAGTGATAAGTTAATTTATTTTGCTCCCCATTAAATTCTAGGATATGAATAGCTCATGAAGAAGAAGAAACATTTGAATGCAGAGCTAAGTTTCAAAGAGGGTGAAAAAGCAGCTCGTTTGGCTATCCTGAAAGCAGTTACATTCTAATAACTTTCAGAAGATCTAGGATTTGTTCATACACTTGCTATATGGCTTGTAATAACCACGGAGTTACATGGCAGATTATTTAATTCAAAACACATGCTCTTACACACTATAGGTATGTTCTCAGATCAGTAGCATATCTTCATGTCTGAGGACTGATAAGCTTGCTTGGAGCACAGATTTTACATACACTTGTGTAACTTTCAGAAAAACATCCAGATTTAATGGATGTGACTGCTTCCTTGCAGTACTTAACCATATATTCCTCAGAACTGAAAACCTCATATTTTCTTATCAAGAATTTTGATCTCTTTATTTCTTAATATTCAAAGGACTTCCTTTTTTAGATTGACTGGTGTACTGAATCTGTTGGTCTTTGGACCAAATGTATTCTAACAATTGTTGGAAGTATGCCACCTTCTTTAAACTTCTTGATTGGTACACACTGTTTCCCTAGTAAAGGTGAAATGAATTTAATCAGCAGTTATAACCACCATAAGATGATGCATCAAATTCCTGTTAATATAGACTATTTCCACAAAAACAATTTAAAAATTGTTCAAAAATATAATGGAAAATGCTGTTCTTCTAAGTCAGTCATGTAGTGGCAAACAAATAATAATGCATTTAAAGCAGGCTATCAGCACTGAGCTCAACTACATTCACTGAGCCCAGCAGAAGAATTCCCAGATGGCAGAATAGTATTTTCATGTTTATGTTGTAATGCTCATATATTTTACCAGATAATTTCAAACCAAAACTAAGTAGACAGATGGTAAGGAGAAGAAAACATACAAACAACTATAAATGTACATATAAAACACAGGGGATTGCTAAAAGAGAAAGCTGAAAAATATAATTAGCCATTTAGTTATATTTAACTTTGTAGTTATTGAAGTACTTTCCACTAGGAACCCAGATCATCATAAAGTTTGTTGCTCATGACACCTAACCAGCCTGGGTTGCCATCGGAGAGACCAGAGAGAGTTCTCTGAAGCCCCCTGAAGAACAGCATGTGGAGTGGAGAGGCTCAGAGGAGCTGGAGACTCAGCCTGTGAGAAAGTGAAGGTCTGCTGAGAAGCAGAGGCTATAGAGCTCCCGGTGCAAGGAGAAGCAAAAGAGAGTCTGAAAAGATGTGCCACAAGGTGGGTGGGTGAAGTTGCACATGAATTAGGTGGGAAAGAAGGAAGGGCCTTGCAGCAGGAGAAATTTTTAAATTATTGAGTTCACTGAGCTGAAAGAGTGGATGTGAAAGTACCTACCCATTATAAACAAATCTCTTAAATTCATGTTGACATCAGCAGTCTGCTCTTCCTACTCACCTGTGGCCTTACACGTTCTTGACTTTAAGTCTGTGCTTAGTTCAGTTAAGTATCTGTGTAAAGTTAAATGCGTTATCAAGACTTCCTGAACTGGGGATTAAAATGCTACTGGATTGAGGCGGACAAAAGACAATACCAAATTTACTAAGTGTTACCAGTTTTACAGTGGCATAGCATAGGAATGCCCAAGCAGATTCTTCAGGGTTGTTACTGGGCTTGGGAACGCCTGGTCTCTACTGTGGCAAGGAGAGCAAGTGCTAAGCACTGAGAGCCAAGGGACAGACAGGCTGGTAGAGGTGAAGGTAGTGGAAAGAGGAGATTCACTGCCAAACAAGCAGCTCATCTCTTTCTTGGCCTCAGAGCCTAAATCATGATAGAGCAATAATCGTTGTGGTATAGCTTACCCATAGTAACATACAAACTTAATGCCTGTGCTTGTAAAGTGCTAGAAGGCCAAAGCTTGTACTCTTATCAAAGTATCTGAACATGGCTGCTGGGGCTCTTGCTGTCTTTCTTCTCTCCCTCTTCTGCTAGCCCAGGCCAAGGCTGTGAGCAAAGTTGTAATCAACAGATGAGATATTGGACACCAAGAGAACTTTGGGCAGAAATAGAACGTTGCCTGTGCCCCGCAGCAGTGAAGAGGCACAGTGCTGCGCTGCCATGGCAGCTGGGGAAGGCTCCTTTGAGCACAGGCAGACTCATTGCTCTTGCACCAGCCACAGTTGTCTAAGGCCAGCTCTGGATGAAGAGAAATGGAGTCCATCCCCTGCCCCCATCCCCCCTTCTCTTATTGACCTTATTATGTTAACTCCTGAATCTGTAAGTGACTGGTTCCTCCATGAGCTGTTCAAAATTACAACCTGATGAAGCTCAGAGGACCTGCGCCATCTCTCAGTTATTATGCTTTTTCATGATGGCAGATGCATTTAAATCCAGTGTAAATAAACAGTAACAACAAAACTAACCAAACAAACAGATTGTGGAAGGGAACAGGCTAGTATCTAACCACAAAAAAGTTTGAGAGTGGGGATGTTTCATCTTTTAACTTCATGTGCTAAGGAGGTAAAATACAGGAAAAATGCAGAAAGCAGAAGTTGCTTGTTAGCTGACTTTATGCAAGAAAGCATGGTTTATACTATGAATCAGGAGTGTGATGTAATGGAGGTTTAGTAGAAAACAATGAGCGAGAAGAGCACTGTGCCGTATCTCCTGTACAGCGTCAGCCAGGCAGAGTGCACCGTGCACGACACTGTTCTGCAGCAGAAAGACTCCAGTCCAGCTCACAGACAAATCTGCACCAGGTTTGAAAAATCACTCGGACCTGCTTAAGTAAAACCTTAACAAGCACAACTGCTTTCTGAATCAAAGTCTGTAGGTTTGCAGTGAACAGGCTGATGAGGGACTCAGGCAAAGATGGCTTGTAGAGGACTGGGTACCTTGGGTATTACCTTAGTTTCAGAGATGAGGAGAAAGCAGTGAGGATCAGCACCAGCCCTTCGGACCACAGACAACTCCGCAGAGAATGTCCTATCAAGATGAATATGGCTCATTCAACAATTAACTCTCTACTCATCTTCTACCTCAGTTTTTTGCTGCTCATCCATTTAAAAAGTAAGATTTGCACTTTTTCTTAATGTTCTGACATGTCTTCTGGGTAGATGGCTAGACATACACTTCTAGCAGGAAGCTTGTGTTGTCAGAAGGCTTTAAAAATTTGATGGAGATGCCAAAAACATTTGGTTTATGAAACTAAGTTGTATGAACTCCCTGCATGACAACTTTCCTGTTCTTCATGCTTAATTTTTTTTTTTTAAATGAAGAATGAAAGCATTTTTAATACCTTGCTTCACATATTGAAAGTCCAGCAATAAAATGTTCTTTTAAAAATATACCTATAAAGTCTGCATTTTGATACCATTCATCCAGTAAATTTAAACCTATCTGATTAAAATCTAGACCAAGTTATCCTTTGCTACAGCTGTTCATGTTATGTATCTTAGTAGCACTCAATGCTTTATTATATATGCGGTTTTAATTACAATCTCTAGAGAAATCAGTTATTAAACAACTGTGATGTATTTAGTGTTCTAAATATCTCCATTATGAGGAATTATAAAAGTCCAACTATTTTTTATAGAGAAAATATTCTCAGCAAACTTCCACATAAACAGAAGTATACAAAATATTGGAAGTCACAATGGGTTTCCTTGATAATTGTGTCAGATGGTTGAGAGTAAATACAAGCCAAGGAGGCTAAATGGCCTCAGCTGGTGAGGCTGACATCTGTGTATGAAAAGCAGTAGCTCTTGAACATGTTTAAAATGAAGACAGGCAGGATGTGTGTCTGTCTGAGGAGGCTCTTTGATTTGTGGCTGTTGAATGTGAATCACAATAAGACAAAGCTTTGAGCAGCTGCCATTAAACAAGAAGACTTGGCATTAGCGTACAGTGTTGTGTAATCTGGGTCACCTTCTGTTACTGCATCACTCAAATTGTTACTTGGACAGTTTACAGCCCAACATAAATTAAACACTGAAAAGCAAACAGATGCAGTTGGATCAACCAGTACTGAAAAAACCCCAAACCAACAACAAAACCAGACTTTAAGATACAGGAAAAAAATAGAGAATGTCATAGAAACATAATTTTATCCTAGTAGTTTTCTTCCTTGGGCTGTACTGATGTGAATCAGGGAAGCCAAAGTGTTCTTTTAAATTAACTCACAACAGGACATACCCTGAAAAAAAGAGAGACTAGATCTTCCAATTTCGAAAAGCAATTTTTAAAAGTCTGTATACTGTAGGATGAACAACCAGAAAGTGTCTGAGAGAAAGTCTGCTACCTAATTAAAAGAAAGTAACAGGAATGGTATTAGTTAAGAAAACTTAATTTATTCATGAAGCAGGCAAATTGGAACAAAATATAAAAGCTTTGGGAAAGGGAATTAAAAGTTAAGTGCTTATAAAATTAAAAAGGTCACAGCAAAAACATCATGCACAAAGAAAGCCCCCCAAGAATCCGTTACAAAAAAAAAAAAAAAAGAAAAAAAAAGATAAACACAAACTTTGGCTTTGACCTTGGTTGAGCTCTGCTCAATGCAGGATGCCAAAGGAGGGAATAGTAGTTGTATATCATTCTGTGCCTTTTCCTTAACATAGTTGTCTGGGATGACATTTCAGATGTGGCATGAGTTTTCTCTGGGTTATGTCCACATAGCCAGTCCCAGGACAAAAGCTTCTCAGTCTTGGAGGACTCTCCTTCTCAGGTAGATTTGTGGTTGCTGCAGAGTGGTGTGATACAAATTGATATACCAGAATAGAGCAGCCACAGCAGGAGCCAGAATCAGACTCAGGACCACATCTGTATCTATAGATGCAATGTATTTCATGATCTCTGTAGGTTTTTCCTCTCAAGAACATTTGTACACCATTTGAAACTGCTAACAATTGCTGTTAATAAAAACATAACTATGAACAGGTAGTAAAAGAAGCAGAAGAATTGACTACAATTACTTCCTTACTTAAACATTAAGGCTGAGAAAGACCAAGATAGAAAAGCTGAGGATAAAACAGAACAGAGATGATTGCTGATATTTATAAAAGTTATGTCAGCCATTATATTTTTTAAATTAATTTGCTGGACTTGTTTTCCCTTAAAGGATTCTAATCTTATGTACTGCTTAAAGTCTTCCTTATAATTATTTATTCTAAACAACTTAGGAAGATGTGGCTTCTAAATACTATTAATTTCCCAATATCATATGTACATGTAACTTTTTTCAACTCATCAATTTTTCTGAGGTGAATAGAGGTATGCCTACATTAAGAAGTGTCCCATACAGACAATGGGTCTTTTAGTAACAGTTGCAATGAAATTAAAGTATTTTTCAGGAGTGTTGCTACATGAAAACAAAATATTCTAATATAGCATAAAATTAATATGCTGAACTAAAAGGAAATATGAAGTTGTTCAACATTATTAAAATAGGTTTGTGCTCTCTTATTTGTAAAATAGCTAATGGCATATATTATGATAAACAGTTCTTTAATTCCTATACAATGCTAACTGTTTGAATAGATGCTAAATTTTTATTAAAGTCTTTTGACTGCACATAAATCTTCTATAAATCTGATGGCTAAAGTATTAAAGAATGTAGTCCTATAATTTGTGGTTCCTTTTGAATTCCCAGGGTAAGTAAAAATGGTATTTTACCTTTATTATCACTAGTAACAACACTTAACAAACTGTAGAGCAACAGGGATTTCAACCTGTAAATCACAGCCTTCCTACAAACAAGATCTAATCTTTTTTCTTTTTTTTTAATTTCAATTGTATAAATTGTTTTTGGAAAGACCATTTGTAATTAATTTGGTCTCTCAGAGCCCCAACTGTCAAATACAAATACGGATGTTCAGAAATACATGTACTTGATAAAAAAAGAACTGGTATGGTTTCATCTTGCAAAGTTACAATTCCAGAAATATTGTGGGCTCTCAACACAATGAAGAGGAGCCTGTTAGGGAGTCCTTGATGTCTCCTTAGTTGTACACCGGCCTGCCTTGGGGCAAGAGTGTCCATCAGGTTGCTCTGATGTTTGCTCCTGAGGTGAAGAGGTGCTGCTGGTGAAGGTGTGGAGACTGTACACACAGACTCAGGGGCAGGATTTCTCTGCTGGCAGGCAGAACCTCTATAGGTTAAACATTTCCCCACATCCTTTATTAGTAAGCTAGAAATTATAACACAAGAAATCAGCATCTTTGAAAGTTTAGCCCCCAAATGACATTGATTTTGGCAATACAGGATAAAGCACTTACTGATGTATTCATAGTCAAGGAACAGAAAGGGAATTCTGTTGCAAGGACACTGATCAATCTCTATAACTGGGTGTTGTTTGTGACTAATGACCTATTAGGAAAGAATCTGATGAGAAAGAAAAGAGGTTGGACAAAAGGGGTTTTTATCACTCATGCTCAAGCAGCAGCACAGACCTTGCATGGATCTTGAAACACTGAAATATTGTGCAGCATCAGTGATAATGTACTGGAGAAACCAATGCTGGAATGTTAAAGCATCTCATACAAGCACAGGACATAAACCTAATGTATGTATGTATATATATATATATATATATACACACACACACACATAAACCTTTCAAAGGTATCTCCACCCAAGGTTTAAATTTATATCTATCTATCCACAGGTTTTTTTTCCCCCTGTTACTTTTGATGAAGCTAGGACACCTAGGGAGTCCTGTTCCAGTGCAACTCTACATCTTTTCCTCTCTACAGGAGGAAACTCAGGGGGGGGGAAAAAAAAAAAAAAAAAAAAGCACTCTGTTTAGAGAATGCTCAAGTCTTGATGGCCAAATTGAGTACTTCCCTATTGAAAAGCTATATGGACAGGCAAATATTTTACTGTATGTGTTTACAGGAAAATGACAGGCAAGACGTAGCAGAATAATCAATCTGCTATTCAGTGCTGGCTATATCCAGTTTTGAGGGCTTCTGTGAGCAAGAGAGAGGCAGTTAGGAAAATGCTGGAAAGGGACTGCAAAAATAGGAAGATATTTAAAAATATGTGCCCTGTGAGAAAGGGTCACAGGAAGAGAAGCCTAAGGGAAGGCATGATTACAGTCTTACCTACACAAAAGAGAATAGCAATCAAGAAAGATGATGAGATCGGTTGCTCCCTATGACCTTTAGAAGGGCAGGCTCGGCAAAATAATAGATTCCACATGCATCAGGGAAGATTTGAGTGAACTTTCCCAATTCAAGGATAATTAAATCTCCATATCAGAACTTTTTAATGAACAGATTAGATAAATATCTGCCAGAGATTGTCTAGACTGCTGTTTCACAGTTGGTGTTGTAGATGAAGGGCAGTAAGTACCACCTTGGGGGTGATCTGTGAAGATCTCAGGTGATGGAGCCCCAGAGAAGCATAGGTCCCTACTTGCCCCAAGGGCTGTGGTTGCACTGAGGCTCCAGGGCAGCTCAGGCAAAGCTCCTGGGCAAGCAGATGACTCCCTCCCCTCCTGCACGGCAACTGGGTATTTGCTCTTCAAAACAAAAGCAGCCCTTAACCCAGCCTTGTTTGTTGCATTAACAACAACATTGTTGACTAAATTTCAGTTAGAAAATAGTTTACTCTCATTCTTTGAGACATCAAGTACCTTACTTTTAATTTTTGGTACCCTAGGCTTTAAATAAACACTTCAGCAACTGAAGGCACTCATTACAATGGGGATAGATAGTACCCCCGTGCTAAAGATCACGCAGTTTGATTTCCAGATTTTAGAGTCAAATCACTTAACTTTTTATTTGCAATTTGAGTTTGATGTATTGGCAGTGCAACGCAAAGAAAAAAATACTAACGAATAGATTATTAATAGTATAATTTTTATGGTCAAAAAATCTGAAAAAGAATGAAAAACATGAACCTAAATTTTACAGCCAGCTTCTTACTCCATATAAATAGGTGATACAAGACTGGAACCTACTGCACCAAAACAAATATCAGAAAATGCCTAGGAAACTCTTAAGTGGCCTTTCTGGACATGCTACAACAAATTAAGATTACTCTAGGAGTCTTCACTCTGATGCTTCATT